GCAGCAGGGAGGAGGAAGGGGGTGAGGAAGCGGGGTGAGGCGGGGGCGTGGAGCGGGTCAGCATTGCGTAGCAAAGCTTTGGGCAGTGTCAGCAGGAGGTTGGGAGTGGCTGAGTTGCTGAGGCGGAGGTATGAGTTGTTTCTAGCTGGCTGGTAGGTCGTTTATGGTAGTAACCTTGTGGAAGTTAACTTATGACAGGGCTTTGAGCGTTTAACTGGGGTAGCATCTACACCGTAGGCCATTCAGTATTTAAGGTTGGCACAGTCGCCCTCTAGTGTCTACATGACCACATGACAATAACGTGGACAGACAGTTGAGAGGCCACAGCACAGTGAGCTGGGAAAGAAAATCTGACGTAACATTTTATTCTGAGATGAGCCTGACACAAAGAACATTCAGATGAAAGACGATGAGAAACATACAGTACATGCATCAGGTGTATTGATTGATTTTTTTCACACTTGAGGTAGATTGACCCAAGATTCATTTGTGACCCCGCTTCCTTCCCTCCCTCCCTCCTTCCATCCCTCTACCAAACCTCCCTCCCCCCCCCTCCCTCTACCCTACCTCCCTCCCTCCCTCCACCTCACTCACTGCACTCCATCCCGCTTCCGCCCTCCCTACAACCTCCTTCCCTCCCCGACTCCCTTCCTTACCTCCCTCCTCCCTTTGAGGAATGAGGAATAGAGAGAGAGACAGAGAGATGAGAGAGAGAGAGAGAGAGAGAGAGAAAGAGAAGAGGACACGAGCGAGAGAGAGAGAGATCTATCGGAACTCTATTTACACGACCGTTTCGATAGACGTTGAACAAGGTTACCTTTAGAAAGCTGGGCCTTCAATTCTGGCTCTAGTTGGCATTAGTGACAAGGGCAACATTAACAACTCCTCTTACTTGGTGACCCGAAGAGGTTCCCTGCGAGGGCTGGGCTTCTAAGGCGGACCTGTGGATGAGTGTGTAAGAGAAGTTGTGAAACATCAGATCAGGAAGAGCGAGATGGGAGACTAGAGGCGGAGGAAGACCTATGGGAATAAGACCGATGTCTTCTGAAGGACAACTCTTCGAGACGTTTTCAAAGATTGGCAAGGAAACTTTGCTGTTCGAACAGACAGGGTGAAGCTGGGCCACCATTGGGGTGCCGGGACAGAAAGAGCTTGGACTGGGGCATAGCGAAACTGACTTCCATAGGGGTGGGATGTTCCAAGACCGCCAAAGGTGGACCGTAATTAGTCTTTTCATCAGGTGATGAAACATCTAACAGCGTTGTGAAATCCTGCACCTTTTCTCCAAACCTTAAACCAGGTCACTGGAAACCTTTTTTCAGACTGCAACCTAGAAATGAGGTTATGTAGTTGACACTGAGTACCCAACGGACCTGTATTCGACTATATCACACACAAGCTGGGTGTGACCCCTGTTTTTGTTTATCAATGTTGGTATTCGTGTGTTATTTTAGGAGAATAGGGCAGTCCCCCTGGTCAACTACAACAACAGGAGATTACAGCATGATCCATCTTCTCTCCATAGATTGCGCATGACTAGAGCTTGATGAGTAGGCGCACCATTGCACGGTCAACCTTTCCCCAAATTCCCCATGGTGTTCCACCAATCACGGTTGGAAGGACTCCCAGACATCCAGAATAGAATAGCAGGTGGAAAGCCGGAACCCTCCAACCAGGATGTCTGAAAACCTGGGAATTGGGAAAGTTTAACCGAATGTCTACCCGAGAATGAGGAAAAGAGAGTTAGCAGATGCTGTGAAGCAAAGATATCACAAGTCACAAGTGTTTAGAGAAAGCCCTCGCATGTTCAGGCCGACAGCAACATGCCATGTTTGGTTTGATACAAAGCCAAGGACAGAAAAGGCCAAGCCTGTTCCTGTCCAGGAGTGCGATTGGTTAGAAAGCTGGGGGTGGGAGGTTAAGGGGTTCAGGTCGGGGCTGGAAGCCATTAGAGATGTTACATTGGGAAATACCAGGGAAGGCAGCAGCGGGTGGTGTTAGTGTTGAGGTAACGGCATGGGTCACACACAACAATGGTGTGACTAGAGGGTTTGGTCGGAAGGAGGAAGAGAAGAGGAGGGGGAGGGGGAGGGGCAGGCTGAGGCCACGTTCAGCTCATGCTGCTCACACAGTCGAGTCACACACACACACACACACACACACACCACCACACACACACGTGTAAGCTACAGGTTAGGGCTTGGTCAGCTCAGACCGGGGGTGAACAGTGGAGAGGGGTGACCCTGTCGAGATGTGTTGGGCTACCTGCAGAGCCTCATCCTCAAGCCGCTAGAAACCATTTGTCCCTCCTGAGACGCAGGTAGGAGGGGGGGGGGGGGGGGGGGGACGGAGGGGCCGGAGGGAGAGGCACGGGGGACAAGGAGAGACAGAAGAGAACCAGCAGTTGAGCTCTTACTTCCCCCCTCCAGTACCCCCACCTATCCCGAAGTTCCACGACCGTCACATACAACGAGGCAACACACTTAACCAGGCTTACATACGTAGATTAAAGGCAAGGAAGCGCAAGGAAATACATGGAGTAAGTCAGGGAACGGAAAACTGACTAGACACCAAGACTAGACAACAGACTAGACAACAGACCTAGACACAGACGAGACAACGGGTAGAAATCAGGAGCAGAGACAGTCACACCTCAAATCTCAAAAACACCAATAATAGACTATGTATAAATCAATACTATAACTATGAAAAATCGAATAATATACATTGGGGAAAAAAAGTATTTAGTCAGCCCAATTGTGCAAGTTCTCCACTTAAAAAGATTAGAGAGGCCTGGAATTTATCACATAGTACCGTCAACTATACAGCAAAATCTTGCTTGTTTGTAGGTGACAATCTTATTTTCCACCATAAATTTGCAAATAATAAATTAAAAATCCTTCAATGTGATTTTCTGGATTTTTTTCACCTCATATTGTCTTCAAGTTGACGTGTACTATATGAAATTACAGCGCTCTCTCATGCTTTTTAAGTGGGAGAAACTTGACACACGTGGTGGATGACTAAAGACTTTTTTTTTTTTTGTCCCCCACAGAGTAACTATGATAAATCAATATAGAACCATGATTAAATCATAATATAACCATGATAATCATAATTAACCATGTAAAGCAATAATATAACCAGGATAAAGTCAATAATATAACTATGAAAATTCACGGTAGCGGTATAAGACTATGAGAGAGGGGGGGAAATCAATAATTGAACTACTATGGGCCAATGAGAGAGAGAGTCAAAGGGAGAGGAGGGGTGGGGGTTGGCACGCCAGGAAGGGGGGGGGGCAACAGCCACGTCTGCGCTAAATCAAACACCTGTGTTGGTGTGCGGGTAGGTGGGGGGGGGCTGCTGGAGGGGGCAGGGGGTTTGGTGTGGTGGCTGGCGTGGGGGCCAGTGGGGGGGGGGGGGGGGGTGACAGGCTCGGGCAACAGGGGAGGCCGCCGAGTTTCACACGCAGGGGGTCAGATTGGGGCACTCAGGCAGCTGTTAAGAGGGTTGTGTCCTGGCTGGGACCTCCATAGGCCCTAGGGTGGGTAGCTACATACAGGCAGCAGGGAGGAGGAAGGGGTGAGAAGCGGGTTGAGGCGGGGGCGTGAGCGTCATCTTTGCGTCAAAGAGTGCTTTTGGCAGTGTCAGCAGAGGGTTGGGAGGGGCTGAGTTGCTGAGGCGGATGGGTATAGTTTGTTCTAGCTGGCTGGTAGTGCGTTATGGGTATAACCTTGTGGAAGTTAACTTAGGACGGGCTTGTGTAGGCGTTTAAAACTTGGGTAGCATCCTACACCGTAAGGCCATCAGTAGTGAGAGGTTGGCGAGCAGGTGGGCGGCCTCTGACTCGTAGTTGGTCTACATGTGACCACATGACAATACGTGGACAGACAGTTTAGAGGCCACAGCACAGTGAGCTGGGAAAGGAAAGTCCTGAGCGGTAACATTTTGAGTTCTGAGATTAGCCTGACCACAAAGATAACATTCAGAAGAAAGACCGGGGAGAAACAACAAGACAATGCAACAAGGGGTATTGATGGAGTTTTTTTTGTCACACTGAGAGGTAATGAACCAGCCAGAGAGTTCATTATTGGTGGACTCACCGCTGCAAGGGATACCTTCGTGCCTGTGGCCGGCTGATGACTGGCTCTCTCTCATCCTGGCTTCGCTCTTCTCTCCGCGGACCCCTTCCGGTGACCGGCCCGAGACCACCTGTACCGGTCCAAGAGCCACACCGGGTTCCTTCATTCATCTGCCTGGTGGAGCTGGGCCTCTAGCTACTCAAACTCCTGAGGAGGAGGGAGAGCAAGGAGGCAGGGGGAGGGATGAGGAGGAGGAAAAGGGTAGAAAGAGGGAGAGCGGAGGGGAGGAGAGGAGCAGGAGGAATAGAGCAGGCGGACAGAGGAGAGGAGGAGGAGGGACGAAGGAAGGAGGCAGAGGAGAAGAGGAGTCGGAGTCGGCGGAGGCGGAGGTCGTACGGAGGGGGCGGGGTGGCGTGGGGTGAGTGGGCTGGGGGGGGGGCGTGGGGGGGGTGGGTATGAGGGGTGGGGAGGGTGGGAGGGTAGGGCCGGGGGTGGGGGGGGGGGGGGGGGGGGCGTGTTTGTGGGGGGGGGGCGAGGATGTGGTGCGGGTCCAAGATATAAGGAAGAGTTCGATAGATGCTGAGGGAGGGCGGGGGGGGTTGTGGTGCGTAGGGATTGTGGGAGTGCGGAGGCCGCTGCGGGGGGGGGGGTGGGGGGGGATGGGGGGGTGGAGGGATCGGTGGAGGGGGGGGGGGGTACGGTGGGGAGGGGGGGCGGTGGTGGGGGGGGGAGGATAACCAAGAGGGGAATTGTGGGAAGGGGGGGGGCGGTAAGGGGGGCGGGGGACAGGAGAAACGTGCAACAAGGGTGGTGGGGAGGGGGCGGGACCCGCTTCAGAGAAAGTAGAAAGACAAGGGAGGGGGGGGGCGGGCGGGGGGTGGGTGGGGGGGCGTGGGGGGGGGGGGAGCTGGCTTACGTGGGGGGGTGCGGCACGTCTGCGCGGCGTATGGCTGGTTGGCTCCGCGGGGGGAACACGGGAGTGGCGGGGTGCAGGCCGCTTCTGCGTGATGAGGGGCTTCGGTGCCCTGGGGTGGCCGGCTGCGGGGGGGGGGGTAGCGACGGGGGGGGGGGCGGGGGGGGCGGAAGGGGCGGGGGGGGGGGGTGCGTCTGTTGGTCCTCATCTCGGGGGGGCTGCGGCTCGCCCCGGCTCTTGCATTCCCTGATGCTGACCGCGCACTACATGCTTTCCCCGATGCATTGCTCCTGTTGCTTATGTGTGTTGCCTCGAGGGTGTACCTATGTGGGTTGTTACGTTTGTGTGTGTGGTAGGTGTGGTGTGTGTGTGGGTGTGTGTCGTGTGAGTTGTGGTTATGTGTGTGTTTTGTTTGTGTGTAGGGGTTGGTGTGTGTGTGTGTGTGGTAGTGTTGTGTGTGTTGTTGTTTGTGTGTGTGTGTGTGTTCCCCGCGCTGTGTTGTACCCGTGCCCAGGCGCGTTTTGAGTTCGTGCGTCCCTGGGTTCGGCTTGGTCGGCTGGGCTGCCTGTCCACCGCGTCTTCTTCCCGTGCGCCAAGGTTGTCTTGGGCAGGGCCGGTGTGCAGGAGGCTGGAGAAAGAGAGCGAGCAGGCAGACGTGTAGACAGAGGAGCGAAGTGTGTCTGTGTTAGACGAAGAGAGAGGCGATAAATCGAGAGAGGCAGAGAGTGGGGGGCTAGATAGATAGCGTAATGGGGGGGAAAGAGAGAGAGGGAGAGGGCGCGCTCGATCGAGGAGAATAGAGCCGCCCGCGCGAACGACTGAGCCGCGCGGCTCGAGGCTAGGCGAGCCCGCGCGCCGCGCCCCAGCGAGCAGCGACCCGCCGCTCGCGCTGCCGCGCTCTCGCGCTCGCGGCGCGATGGTCGCGCGCGCGAGGGCGCGCGCGAGGCAGGCGGGCCGGCGAGCGGGCGCGCGACGAAGCCACGAGAGGCGTTCGCGAGATAGGGAGAGAGCAGATCGAGCAGATAGGAAGAGAGATCTAGAGGGGGGGTAGGAGAGAGGGTGAGTGAGCTTCGCTCTGGGTTAGTTGGGGGTTGTCGTCGCAGCTAGTCTGGGGCTCGGCGGGGGGGGGGGGGGGAGGCGGGCTCGCGCTGCGTCTCGTCGGGCGGGGTGGCGCGTGCGCGGGAGTCTGCGGCGTCTCGTTGGCGGTACTTGGGAGGGCGGGGGTCTGTTCGCTGGGCGTCGGGCCCTGGGGGGGGGTTGAGGGCGCGTGGCGTTTCGCGGGCTCTCGCGGCTGGCGTGGCGGGGGGGGGTGGCTGGGGGCCGGGTCGGGGTGTCGGAGGGGATGTCGTGCGCGGATTGGGGCGGTTGCGCGGGTCTCTCTCTCTCTCCCGCAGCTCTATCGCGACACGCCCCCGCCCTTCCGCTCCGCTCTCTCTCTGCAGCGCCGCGGGGGGCGGTGGGTGGTTGTGTCGTTGGGTGGGGGGGTGAGAGGAGGTCGCGCGCTGGAGGCTAACTCCAGCGATCCTACTCTGCCCTCCCGGTCCCGCTCGGGCGCGCGCGCGCTCCTCTCGCTCGCCCGTCTCCTATAGCTCTCGCGAGCTCTCTCTCTCTAGCTCGCTCGCAATCTCTCAATGTTCTACCTCTCGCGCGCGCTCCCGCGCTCCGATCGATCCCGCTCGTTCCCTGCTGCTCTTCGTTCATCTCTCGAGTCTCTCTAGCGCTCTCTCTCACGCTATCTCTCCTCTCGTCTCACCGCGCTCTCTCAGCTCTCGCTCTCTCGAGGTCTTTGCGCCTACCTCCCTATCGTCCCCTCTTTCCCGCCCCCCCACCCACCACCCTCTTCTTTTTTCCCCCTCCTTCTGCCATTCCCTCCCTATCTCCTTGCCCTCCGTCTCCCCGACTTCACCCGTCATTCTCCCGGCCCGTCCCTCATCCCTTTCTTCTCCCTGCCGTCCCTCTCCAGGCCAAGTCCGTCTCCCGTCCAGTCCGTCCTCAAGGAAATCAGTCTCAAGGACCAGTCAGTCTCAAGGCCAGGTCATCAAGGACATCAGTCTCAAGGACAGTCAGTTTTCACAATGACAGTCAGTCTCAAGGACCGTCGTACTCAAGGACATCCGTCGCAAGACATCCAGTTCAAGGACAGTCAGAGTCCTCAATACAGGTCATCTCAATGAACATAGTTCTCAAGGACAGGCATCTCAAGACAGTCAGTCCAAGGACAGTCCGCAAGGACAGTCAGTCCCAGGACAGTCATTCAAGGCAGTCATCTCAAGACAGTCAGTCTCAAGGACAGTCATCCAAGGACATCCCAGTCTCAAGGACAGTCAATCTCAAGGTCAGTCGCAAGGACGTCATCTCAAGGACAGTCAGTCTCAAAGGACGTGGTTCAGTCCTCAAGGACAGTCAGTTTGCCAAGGACATCAGATCTCAAGGAACAGTCAAGTCTAAGGAAAGTCCCAGTCTCAAGGAAGTCAGAGTCTCAAGGACAGTCAGCTCAAGGGAGGACATCTTCAAGGACATATCTCAAGGACATCAGTTTCATCAAAAGGACAGGTCAAGTCTCAAGGAAGTCATTCTTCAATCAAGGACAGTCAGATCCAAGGACAGTCATCGCCAAGACAGCATCTCAAGCCTCAGGTCCGTCGCAAGGACAGTCAATCTCAAGTGACAGTCAGTCTCAGGAGAATCAGTCTCACACGACAGGTCGTCCCCTCAAGGCAGTCAGTCTCACAAGGGGACGTCCCTCAGGACATCAGTCTCAAGGACAGGCGTTCTCAAGACAGTCATCTCAGACAGTCATAGTCCGCAAGGACAGTCTCAAAGACTAAGGAAGTCCTCAAGGACAGTCAGAATCTCCTCAAAATACAGTCGTCGCGAAGGACAGTCAGTCTCAAACGGCAGTCTCAAGGACCAGTCCGTCGCAAGGACATCTCAAGGACAGTCATTCTCAAGGACATCTTCCAAGAAAGTCATTTTCAATTCGCAATTACATCAAGTCTCAAGGACATTCAATTCCCAATCAAAGTACAAAGTCAGTCCTCAAGACATTCAGTCTCACAAGGAACATCATCATTTTTCAAGGACAGTCTCTCAATTATGACAATTCAGATTCTCAAGGACATTCCAGTCTCAATTACGATGGCATTCTCAATGACAGTCTAAGATTCTCATCAAGCGTCTGATGTCAGGCGAACATATATACAAATACTTTAATTAACCATTAAAATCGAATCTTCTTTAGATAAAGAATCAAATTTTTATCATTTTCACTTATACTCCCTAAATATACCAGCCCTTTGTACCATCTGAATCTTACAGACAAGCAAAGAGCACGACTGTTGAATAGATACTCACCCTCACCGGCAAACGCACACTCAACACACAGAACACCGGCAAAATAAGACCAGCCGATAATTCCTCCATCTCCCAGCTGTACTCAATCTCATAGTCTGACCCTGAGGAGACAGAAACAGAAAAGACAGTTTAGATCTCATTAGTCGGAACCCTGAGGAGACAAACAGAACAGACATTTAGATCTCAATAGTCTGAACCCTGAGGGAGACAACAGAACAACAAAGTTAGAATCCTATATCGACACTGATGGAGACAACAGAACATAAACACAGTTAGATCTCATATCTGACAACTGATGAGACACACAGAACAACAGAGAAGTTAGAGATAAGGATAAATAGCAATAGTTTGGCTTAGAATGATGAGAGAAGAGGAAGCACAGGGACAGTTCAAACAGCATAACGGCTGGACTGGAACTGGTCTATATGTGACGGTGGGGTGTACTGGACTAGGTTGGACTGGACTGAGCGAGGCTGTACTGGACGTGGACGGGACCTGGGCTAAGGACTGGACTGGACTGAGACTGGACTGGTACTGTACTGGAGCTGGGCGGAGGACGTGGACTTGACTAGCTGGACATGACTAGGCTGGACCTGGACCCTAGACTGGGACGGACTGGCTGGGCTGGACGGACTGTGGCTGGACTGGACTGGACTGGACTGGACTGGACTGGGACTGGGCTGGACTGTGGCTGGACTGACTGCTGGGCTGGACTGACGGACTAGGCTGGACTTACTGTAAGGACTAGACTAGACTGGAACCTGGGGCGTGGACTGGGCTGGACTTGCTGGACTGGGCTGACTGGACGAGGCGGACGTGGCTGGACTGGACTGGAGACTGACTAGCTGGACTGGACTGGACTGGACTAGACGGACTGGCTGGACTGGTCCTGTACTTGACTGGGACTAGCCTGACGGGCTGACGGACTGAAGGGCTGGAACTGGGCTGGACTGGACTGTGACTTTGGACTGGTCGAGACTGTACTGGATTGACTAGACTTGGGACTGGATGGACCTGGAACTAACTAGACTAACCGGACCTGGACTGGACGGGACTGGACTGGACTGGGACTGACGGACTGGGACTGGGCTTTTGCTGGACTGGACTGGGCTGGACGGGAATGGGGGGCTGGGACGGGCTTTGCTGGACTGGACGGGGCTGGACTGAGACTGGGGGCCTGGACTGGACTGGACTGGACTGGACTGGACTGGGCTGGACGGGGCTGGGCTGGATGGGCTGGACTGGACTAGCTGGACTGGACTAGGCTGGCGGGACTGGCATTGGAGGGACTGGACTGGTCTGGACTGGTTTATTGGAGGGACTGGACTGGTGGATGGACTGGATGGATGCTGGATTGGAGGCTGGGGGACTGGACTGGTCTTGCTGGACTGGACTGGACTGGGCTGGACTGACTGGCTGGACTGGATAGCTGGACGGACTGGGCTGGACTGGACTAGGTTTGACTGGACTAGCTGGACTGGACTGGAACATGTCGGGTTTTTAAGGCTGTAAACGAAGGGACCACTTAAACCAGCGGCGACTCCTACTGGGTGGGGGGGCTCTGAATGCTGTGAGGCGACTGGAAGCGATGGCGGAGGCGGCTGGCGGACTGGACGAGACCTTTTAAATGGTGAATGACTGAAATGGGACGCACTTCCCTCCAGCTCCTCTGTTCCTAACCCTCCTCCCGTCCCTCTTCTTCTTCTCGCCTTCCTCTTTCCTAGCCCTCTCCTCCTCCCTCTCCTTCCTCTCTCTCTCTCCTCCCCCTTCCCTCCTCTCCTCCCCTTTCCTCTCCTCTCCTCTCCTGTTCTAGGGGTCAGGGTTTAGTAGAGAACTGGTTAGGTAGCTAGCTGCTTGAGTCCAAATTGAAATCTTTAGCGATGCTGCTAACAGCATGAAGACATTGTCCAATTGTCCAATAATTACATTAAATTTTTGAACTTTCTGGCTCCATTTGATCAATGTCAGCCTTGTTTCGGAGCATACATATATTGAAGGATACACACACTCAATTACCTCGACTGTTCTCATTGACAAAGGCTGTGAGGTCAGAGGGCTGGGGGAAGTCCTCCTGGGGGTCAGAGGTTAGCTCTGCCTCCATGGATGCCCACTTGTGGTTGGCTGAGGACACCAGCTTCTCTTTGTGATTGGAGGAAGAGGCCAGCTTCTCCTCGTCTGTGGCGTGGTCATCCTGTAGCGGAGGCTGGGCTTCATCTACTGGGGTGGGCCCCTGGAGAGGAGGAAGGAAGGAGGTGAGGAGGTGAGGAGGGGTGGGCCCCTGGAGAGGAGGAAGGAAGGAGGTGAGGAGGGGTGGGCCTGGAGAGGAGGAAGGAAGGAGGTGAGGAGGTGGAGGAGGGGTGGGGTGGGGGGGGGGGGGGGTGGGAGTGGGGGGGGGGGGAGGGGGGGGAGGAGGTGGGGGGGGGGGGGGTGTGGGGTGTGGGGGGGGGGGGTGTGGGTGGGGCGGTGGGGGTGTGGGGGTGGGGGGGGGGGGGGGGGGGTGGGTGGGGGGGGGGGGTGGTGGGGGGGTGGGGGGGGGGGGGGGAGGGGGGGGGGGGGTGGGGGGGGGGGGGGTGCGTGGTGGGAGGGGGGGGGGGGGGGGGGAGGGGGGGGGGGGGGGGGGGGGGGGGGGGGGGGGGAGGGGGGGGGAGGAGGGAGGGGGGGGGGGGGGTGGGGGGGGGGGGGGTGTGGGGGGGGGGGGGGTGGGGGGGGGGTTGGGGGGGGGGGGGTTTTTGGGGTTGGGGGGGTGTGTGTGTGGGTGTTTTTGTGTGGGGGGGGGGTGTGTGGGGGGTGGTGTGGGGGGGGGGGTTGTGTGTGGGGGTGGGGGGGGGGGGGTTGTGTGGGGTGTGTTGGGTGTGGGGGGTGTGGTGTGTGGTGTGGGGGTGCGTGAGGAGAGGACTGACTAACTTGTGATGATGGATCAGACGTGGGCGACCTCTTTGGGGACCTCTTGACTCTGAAAGTGTTACTGGAAGGAGAGAGAGACTGGATGATCAGGAGTCACTGAACACAACATGTCATCCCTGGCAGAGACTTAATCAATCAATACTTAATAAATAAGTCAAAACTTAATCAGGACGTCAACTCTATTGTCTTATTAACAACAAGAGGTATATTTCCAACGATTATTCTCTCCCTCATATCGTGTATGTTTAGCTCAATAAGATACATGTATACTAGTCATTCACAATACAGGGGGGATTTTGAAAAAACTATGATTTCCATATGCATGAAATGTGTCATGTAAAGCAACATCATCTGTGTATTGACTCTGCATCGATACTCAAAAAGCTTAATACACACATGTTGTTGGATTGAACTGATAATAAATGTTTAAGGATTTAGCGTCACTAGTTTAGTTAGGGTACAGTTGAAGTCGAAAGTTTACATACACTTAGGTTGGAGTCATTAAAACTAGTTTTTCAACCACTCCACAAATGTCTTATTAACAAACTATAGTTTTGGCAAGTCGGTTAGGACATCTACTTTGTGCATGACACAAGTAATTTTTCCAACAATTGTTTACAGACAGATTATTTGACTTATAATTCACTGTATCACAATTCCAGTGGGTCAGAAGTTTACATACACTAAGTTGACTGTGCCTTTAAACAGCTTGGAACAATTCCAGAAAATGATGTCATGACTTTAGAAGCTTCTGATAGGCTATTGGAGGTGTACCTGTGGATGTATTTCAAGGCCTACCTTCAAACTCAGTGCCTCTTTGCTTGCCATCATGGGAAAATCTAAAGAAATCAGCTAAGACCTCAGAAAACAAAATGTAGACCTACACAAGTCTGGTTCATCCTTGGGAGTAATTTCCAAACGCCTGAAGGTACCACGTTCATCTGTACAAACAATATTACGCAAGTATAAACACCATGGGACCACGCAGCTGTCATACCGCTCAGGAAGGAGACGCGTTCTGTCACCTAGAGATGAATGTACTTTGGTGCGAAAAGTGCAAATCAATCCCAGAACAACAGCAAAGGACCTTGTAAAACGAGTGCTATATCGACATAACCTGAAAGGCCGCTCAGCAAGGAAGAAGCCACAGCTCTAAAACCACCATAAAAAAGCCAGACTACGGTTTGCAACTGCACATGGGGACAAAGATCGTACTTTTTGGAGAAATGTCCTCTGGTCTGACGAAACAAAAATAGAACTGTTTGGCCATAATGACCATCGTTATGTTTGGAGGAAAAAGGGGGGCTTGCAAGCCGAAGAACACCATCCCAACCGTGAAGCACGGGGGTGGCAGCATCATGCTGTGGGGGTGTTTTACTGCAGGAGGGACTGGTGGACTTCACAAAATAGATGGCATCATGAGGAAGGAAAATTATGTGGATATATTGAAGCAACATCTCAAGACATCAGTCAGGAAGTTAAAGCTTGGTCGCAAATGGGTCTTCCAAATGGACAATGACCCCAAGCATATTTCCAAAGTTGTGGCAAAATGGCTTAAGGACAACAAAGTCAAGGTATTGGAGTGGCCATCACAAAGCCCTGACCTCAATCCTATAGAAAATTTGTGGGCAGAACTGAAAAAGCGTGTGCGAGCAAGGAGGCCTACAAACCTGACTCAGTTACACCAGCTCTGTCAGGAGGAATGGGCCAAAATTCACCCAACATTGTGGGAAGCTTGTGGAAGGCTACCCGAAACGTTTGACCCAAGTTAAACCATTTTAAAGGCAATGCTACCAAATACTAATTGAGTGTATGTAAACTTCTGACCCACTGGGAATGTGATGAAATAAATAAAAGCTGAAATAAATCATTCTCTCTACTATCATTCTGACATTTCACATTCTTAAAATAAAGTGGTGATCCTAACTGACCTAAAACTGGGAATTTTTACTAGGATTAAATGTCAGGAATTGTGAAAAACTGAGTTTAAACGTATTTGGCTAAAGGTGTATGTAAACTTCCCACTTCAACTGTACATCGTTAATGTGACTAGAACCACAGTAGATTGGAAGTTCATTTCTGCCCCCCCAAAAAAAATTACTGGCATGATTCACATTGATGGTATACATTAGTCTGGGGTTCCCAAACCTCTCCTCTGGGACCCCCAGACGTTTCAAAACTCTCCTCGGGGACCCCCAGATGTTTCAAAACTCTCCTAGGAGACCCCCAGGCAATCCAACCTATCCTCTGGGACCCCCAGACATTTCAAAACTCTCCTCGGGGACCCCCAGACGTTTCAAAACTCTCCTAGGAGACCCCTAGATGTTTCAAAACTCTCCTAGGAGACCCCCAGGCATTCCAACCTATCATCTGGGGACCCCCAGACGTTTCAAAACTCTCCTAGGAGACCCCCAGACGTTTCCAACCTCTCCCCAGATATTTCACAATTTAGTTTTAGCCCTGAACTAGCACAACTGATTCAAGTAGTCAAGGGCTTGAGGATTAGTTGACAAGTTGAATCAGGAGCTAGTTCTGGAATAGATCAAATACATGGTAATGCTGCATTAGGCAACAGTTAGCGTGTTAGCGATATGAGATGAAATGGTCTAAACTAGAGCTGTCATGATACCAGTATTGCGATATCTACTATACCAGATTTTCTTGAAGCAGACTTCACTCTATAGTCCTTTAAAACCTACTTTTGTAAAATATTGGGTGAGTTTGTTTTTGCATGGCTCGGTGCCCCTGGTGGGCGAAGTTAGCACATTTTAGATCATTCCATTGGTCCTTAAGTGAAAATCTCCACCCAGCCGTGGCACCGGGCCATGCAAAGCGAACTCGCCCACTGTGGGCTATACAGTAGCAGCTTGCAAAAGAAACAAATGCCAATCTGTGTGTTTCCAACATTATAGACATTAAGTCTGCTTCATGTTTTGTTTCCTTTCCACGATACGGGTATTGTGACAACCCCAGGTATCTGCAACCAACCTTAGCCCCCCCAGACATACTGCACCTTACAGTGGCCACGACTAACCTCTGTTGGCCTTCAATAGAGGAGGCACTACCTTGTGAATGTTCTCTTTCACTTGGAGAATGGGTGCACCTGTGCAAGACATGTTACATTTATGTGTCAGGATGCTCACTGAAGAAGATAGGCATGGTAGAGCTTCTCTGATTGGTTTCGTGGGCATGGTAGAGCTTCTCTGATTGGTTGGTGGGCATGGTAGAGCTTCTCTGATTGGTTGATGGGCATGGTAGCGCTTCTGCAATTGGTTGTCTTTATGTTACAGTTGTGTTAATAAGGAGGAGGACAGGGTTGCAAAACTTCCCAAGTTTTCCAGAAATCCTGGTTGGAAGATTCCCAGAATTTCAGGAGAACCTGTGAATTTGGGGAACGTTACCAGGATTGGCAAACCTAGGAGGTGAGGATGGCAGGACGGGGCAACATGCTCACTCTGAGAGTAGGATGTTTACAAAAAGTAAAATATTAAAGAAACAGTTAGAGGTCAAAACAGTGAACAGTAATGTTCTGCTGCCTTTACTGTACTTACAACAGACAACACAGAGAGGAACCCATGGACTTCCTGTGGCATACAAGAATACACACAGACAGGTGACAGAGACAGACAGGAGACAGAGAGACAGACAGGAGACAGAGAGACAGACAGGAGACAGAGAGACAGACAGGAGACAGACAGGAGACAGAGAGACAGACAGGAGACAGCGAGACAGGAGACAGAGAGACAGACAGGAGACAGAGAGACAGACAGGAGACAGAGAGACAGGAGACAGAGAGACAGACAGGAGACAGAGAGACAGACAGGAGACAGAGACACAGACAGATGACAGAGAGACAGACAGGAGACAGCGAGACAGACAGGAGACAGAGAGACAGGAGACAGAGAGACAGACAGGAGACAGAGACACAGACAGATGACAGAGAGACAGACAGGAGACAGCGAGACAGACAGGAGACAGAGACACAGACAGGAGACAGAGAGACAGACGGGTGACAGAGAGACAGAAAGGTGACACAGACAGACAGACACATTCTCTCTTGTGGATGTGTAACAATATCAAGTCCCCAGTTGGATAGAGAGATGACAAAACACACAGACACACACACACACACACACATACACACATACACACACACACACACACACACACACACACACACACACACACACACACACACATCTAAAAGGATTCACTACTACACATACAAACATAAACACTTAAACGAATGGTAACGTGAAAGTGACTTATAATCACCTAATAATGCAATGGATCGGTTTGGTATTCAAACTTACGATTTGATCGGTTTCTTCTTGGTCTTGGCCGGTCTGTTCCGGTTGTGGTCCTCCAGCTCCCTAACTTCATCATTATCGTTATCAACCTCATTGTCATTGGCCGACACCTCGAAAGAGGCGGAGCCAGAGGCGGCCTTGGGCGGAAACTCAGCCATCCTATTGGATGAACCCTTGAAGGGGTTGACAGCTGAGTCATGGAAGGCGTCAGGGTCAAAGCTATACGAGGGTTTGTTCAGCTTGGGAGAGATAGGGATCCCGGCGTTAGAGCCGAACGGGTTGATGTTAGGGTCGTCCCACTGGGTGGGGTCGAAGATATAGGAGGCCTTAGGGACGGGGACGTCATCGGGGACGGTGACGGGGTGTTGTCCTTCCTGGGCTTCCTTAGAGGCATCTAATAATATGAATAATAATAATAATAATACATAATATTAATAATGATACATTTTATTAATTTTAAGCGCTTTTCAAAAACACCCCAAAGTAACTTTACATAGTCAGCAAGATAATCATCGAAACAAAAATCAAATATTTAAAATCTGCAAGAATATAAAACGTACACATAAAACATCAAGAAGACGGACTAACCAAGGAGCGCACTAAACATGATGACAGACTAACCAAGGAGAGCACTAAACAGGATGACAGACTAGAACTGCAACATTTCGGGAATCCAACTGGGATTTCTGGAACATCAGGGAATTTGGGGAAAGTTACCGGAATTTTGCAACCCTATGACAGACTAACCTTGGAGCCTGGTTTTCTGCCCAGCTTCTTGGGTGGTGGAGAGGCCTTGGGAGGCTCCTCTAGGGTCTCCTCAGAATAGTCAAACTCCAGTCTGACCGCCCCCGAGGTTCGAATAGGGGGGCTTGTTGAGGGAAGAGCTGGCTCGTCGTTAGAGATAGTAGGAGGGCGCTCTGGGGGGTTAGGGTTAGAGACAGGGGCGACGGTTTTGGGAGCAATGGACAGCACGACTCCTTTCCTACCCAACGGGGGGGAGTTAGCGACTCCTTTCCTACCCAACGGGGGGGAGTTAGCGACTTTACTCCCTCCGGTGTTGAACGGGTCGATGTTTTCAAAGTTGTCTGGGTCCCATTTGTAGGCCCCACTGGGGGGAGAGCCTTCGCTGCCTGGGGGGGCCTCTGGCACGGAGATGGGGGTGTCCTCCTGTTGGAAAGGTATAGAGATAGCCTGGGTCGTGGTCAGAATAGAAGTAGGGGCCAGGATAAGTTGGCTATCTGTCTCTGGGCTAGTGTGATTGGTCTCTTCAATGAGAGGGGTGGGGCTTTCCACACATGGCTTCCTGGTTCTGCAGAGCGTGCCTTCTGGACTGGGCGTGGCCGAGGTAGGGCCAGGGGCGGAGTCTACTGTGGCCCCTCCTACTTGCGGATCCTCAGAGCCCAATAGGGGGCTAACTGCTCTGGAGGGATTGGCGCTCTTCTTTAGCTCCGGTGTGGTACCAGAGGATGGAGGTTGGGGGCTCTCTACGTTAGAGCTCTGCCTGGAAAGAGGCTTCTTTTTCAGGGAGCCGCCGGGGAGGAGAGGCCCCTTCTTGGAGGGTCTGCGGAGGGTCCCTGGAGCGCTCTCAGTACCGCTGTCAACACTAAAGGCCTCAGCTAAGGGACGTGAGTCTCCGATCGAGATGGAGGATCCTTCGCCGTCTAGGGGGTCGGAGCCGTCTAGCTCCCCAGCCTGGAGGCTCAGAGAGCGGGTTAGAAGTGATCGGCTCTGGGCCTCTGCAGCTGCAGCAGCAGCTATGAGCTGGTCTAGGTTATAGGCCCTCCCGCTAGCGGCTATGGGCTTGTCCTCGTCAAAGACTATGGACAGAGAGCTACCATGGTGACCTTTAGCCTCTGACCCGGGTTCACCGTCTGCCTCAGAGTCACAGCCAAGACCTGGAGGATCAGAGCAATATAAATGATAGGTATTATATACTCATGATGACACAATCCATACATGGTGTAAGAATGAGAGAGAGAAATTACATTATTCTGATGCTTGTTCGTTGTGTGTTTGTCTGAGAGAGAGAGAGAGAGAGAGAGATATATATATAGGGAGAGAGATAGAGAGAGAGAGAGAAGAGAGAGAGAGAGAAGAGAGAGAGAGAGAGAGAGAGAGAGAGATAGAGAGAGAGAGAGAGAGAGAGAGAGAGAGAGAGAGAGGTAGTGGCATACAGCAGGTCAGCCACCAGGGGGAGACTCGTCGAGGCCTGGTAACAGATGGATAATACATCACGAGGAGGTGGCTCCATCTGCTGGACGTGCCAGGTCTCGACGGGCTCCCAGACAGGACTAATTGGGGCTGATTGGGAGCTGGTGAGTAATTAAGGGCGGATTGCTCACCAGCTGTGCAAGGCCCATAAAGCTGCCAGAAGGGCAGCACGTGGAGAGGACTGGGGGAAGTAAGGTAACTTCTGTGTAGTTGGAGACGGTATCCTGGAGAGGGTCTCATGGGGGAGACCTAACCTTTTCTTTTGATTATTTTATTAATAAACACCCTTGAAACCGAGCTAATCATACTCTGTCCGTGTCTGATCTGTGTAAACGTCTTGACCCAACCCCCTGATCTGCCACAACATATATATATATACACACTGCTCAAAAAAATAAAGGGAACACTTAAACAACACAATGTAACTCCAAGTCAATCACACTTCTGTGAAATCAAACTGTCCACTTAGGAAGCAACACTGATTGACAAATGTAACATGCTGTTTTGCAAATGGAATAGACAACAGGTGGAAATGATAGGCAATTAGCAAGACACCCCCAATAAAGGACTGGTTTTGCAGGTGGTGACCACAGACCACTTTTCAGTTCCTATGCTTCCTGGCTGATGTTTTGGTCACTTTTGAATGCTGGCGGTGCTTTCACTCTAGTGGTAGCATGAGACGGAGTCTACAACCCACACAAGTGGCTCAGGTAGTGCAGCTCATCCAGGATGGCACATCAATGCGAGCTGTGGCAAGAAGGTTTGCTGTGTCTGTCAGCGTAGTGTCCAGAGCATGGAGGCGCTACCAGGAGACAGGCCAGTACATCAGGAGATGTGGAGGAGGCCATAGGAGGGCAACAACCCAGCAGCAGGACTGCTACCTCCGCCTTTGTGCAAGGAGGAGCAGGAGGAGCACTGCCAGAGCCCTGCAAAATGACCTCCAGCAGGCCACAAATGTGCATGTGTCTGCTCAAACAGTCAGAAACAGACTCCATGAGGGTGGTATGAGGGCCCGACGTCCACAGGTGGGGGTTGAGCTTACAGCCCAACACCGTGCAGGACGTTTGGCATTTGCCAGAGAACACCAAGATTGGCAAAATCGCCACTGGCGCCCTGTGCTCTTCACAGATGAAAGCAGGTTCACACTGAGCACATGTGACAGACGTGACAGAGTCTGGAGACGCCGTGGAGAACGTTCTGCTGCCTGCAACATCCTCCAGCATGACCGGTTTTGGCGGTGGGTCAGTCATGGTGTGGGGTGGCATTTCTTTGGGGGGCCGCACAGCCCTCCATGTGCTCGCCAGAGGTAGCCTGACTGCCATTAGGTACCGAGATGAGATCCTCAGACCCCTTGTGAGACCATATGCTGGTGCGGTTGGCCCTGGGTTCCTCCTAATGCAAAACAATGCTAGACCTCATGTGGCTGGAGTGTGTCAGCAGTTCCTGCAAGAGGAAGGCATTGATACTATGGACTGGCCCGCCCTTTCCCCAGACCTGAATCCAATTGAGCACATCTGGGACATCATGTCTCGCTCCATCCACCAACGCCACGTTGCACCACAGACTGTCCAGGAGTTGGCGGATGCTTATAGTCCAGGTCTGGGAGGAGATCCCTCAGGAGACCATCCGCCACCTCATCAGGAGCATGCCCAGGCGTTGTAGGGAGGTCATACAGGCACGTGGAGGCCACACACACTAATGAGCCTCATTTTGACTTGTTTTAAGGACATTACATCAAAGTTGGATCAGCCTGTAGTGTTGGTTTTCCACTTTAATTTTGAGGGTGATTCCAAATCCAGACCTCCATGGGTTGATACATTTGATTTCCATTGATAATTTTTGTGTGATTTTGTTGTCAGCACATTCAACTATGTAAAGAAAAAAGTATTTAATAAGATTATTTCATTCATTCAGATCTAGGATGTGTTATTTTAGTGTTCCCTTTATTTTTTTGAGCAGTGTAAAATTTTTTAGGATTTTTTTTTGGGGGGGGGGGGGGGGGGGGGGGGGGGGGGGGGGGGGGGGGGGGTTTTTTTTTTAAAAAGAAGGGGGGGACCCGGGGGAAAGAGGGGGGGGGGGGAAAACCCCCCCTAATTTTTTTTTTTTTGGGGGGGGGGGGTTGGCTTCAAAAAAAACCTTTTTTTTTCTTTTGGGGCCAACGGTTGGGTTTATGTTTTTTTCTGATTGGCCAACTGGTTTGGTTATATGTGGGCGTGGTCAAAGGCCCGCATGCGTGTAACTGGCCACTAGAATCCTGGTTAATCCGGGTCTTCGCCCCCCCGGCCGCGACCGGAATCAGGGGCGGGCCACAATTGGCCAAAGCCGTCCCCTGAGGGAGGGAATGGGGGGGGGGGATTTGTGCTCAGTTGATGAGCATGGGTTTTGAAAAGGGCAGGGTTGGGGGTTCGTTCCCACGGGGGGGCCTTTTAAAAAAAAAAATATGTTTAAATAACTGTAAGTCGCTCTGAAGAGCGTCTGCTAAATACTAAAAAAGTAAATGTTTTTTTTCCCATGGGGTTTTTTTTTTGTTTTTTTCCCTGGTTTTTTAAAGGTTTTATGTTTTGGGCCAAAGGGTTATGGATAGTTTTTTAAGTCCCCTTTTTTTTTTTGAGATTCCCCCCATTTTAGGGGGGGGAAAAAGATTTCAACTTTATGGAGAGTTTTTTTGGCCAAGTTGTGTTTTTACTAGGAATTTTGGGGGTTTTTTTCATTCCCTGGGGGTGTTTTTTCTTTTTTTTGTCTCTTTTTCTGCCTCCCTTTTCCCTCTCCCTAACCAAAGGGAAAAAAAAAAAAGTTTTCGAAGCTTTTTTTAAGGGGACGCTTTTTTTTTTTTGCTTGTGCGGTTCCCCCCCGGCCCTTTGGAAACAGGGAAAATTTTTCCCCTTTTTTCCCTTTTCCCCCTTTTCCCTTTTTATTTTTTTCCCCCCCCCCTCTCTCTCTCCTTTTTCCTCCTCTTTCTCTCTCTTTCTCCCCTTCTCTTCTCCTCTCTCTTCTTTTTTTCTGTTCTCCTTCTCTCTTCCCCCTCCTTTTCCTTTTCCCCCCTTGTTTTTCCCTTCTCGTTTTTCCTTCGGTGTCGGCCCATTTCTTTTTAAAAAAAAAAAAAATTTTTTTTTTTTTTTTTTTTTTTTTTTGGGGCCCCCTTTTTTTTCCCCCCTTTTCTCTTCTTCCCCTTTCCTCTCTCCCCCTCTCTCTCCCTTCTCCCCTCTCTCTCTCTCTCCTTTTTCTCTCCTCTCCCCCTTTCCTTCCTTATATTCTACGCTTCCTCTTGCCAAACCCTTGGGGCTCTCCTAAAAAAAAAAAAAAAAAACTCGTATCTCGGTAGACTAAGATTTTAACCAACCCTGTGAACCGGTTTAGTATCTCATAATTTTGTACATTAGCAATGAAGGTCGGTAAGTTGGAAGCTTGTGTAGTATGACTTTGTAAACAAAAAGGGAGTCATTAATTGATCTACGGGACTTTAATGAGGTCCAGCCAACCTTTTGATACAGGATGCAGTGGTGAGTATTAAAACTGTCACCTGTGATAAAGTGAAGGGTGCTTTGGTAGACAGCATCCAATGGTTTAAGAGTAGTGGCTGCTGCATTCTGGTAAATGGAGTCACCACAATCAAGAACTGGCAGGAAAGGTGACTGTGCAATCTGCTTCCTGCTATTTAGGGAGAGGCAAGATCTATTTCTAAATAAGAAGCCCACTTTAAATCTTAGCTTTTTAACTAGCTCATCCATATGTTTTTTTAAACAGCAAGTGTTTGTCAATCCAGATGCCCAGATATTTGTAGGCGGGAACCCAATCAATGGGAGAACCATCCAATTAATAAATATATAGTCCATCTGAAACATCTGAAACATTCTTGCGAGAACTAGAGAACAACATGTATTTAGTCTTGCCCACGTTAAGTACCAGTTTTAAACCAACCAGGGCTTTCTGTAAGGTAACAAGGTCACATTGCAGCTCTAACATTGCCCGGTCAACAGTTGGGGCAACGGGGTACATAACAGTGTCATCTGCATACAGATTAATATTACAAGTTTTAACAGATAGGCCAATACTATTTATATAAATCGTAAAAAGAACCGGTTCCAATACCATCCCCTGCAGTATACCTTTTGTCATATCCAGAAAACTAAACTTAACACCGTCAGAGATAACACATTGAGTACTGCCTGACCGATAATTTTCAAACCCAGGCCTATTTCAGCCAACTTTTGAATGAGAATGTGATGGTCAACGGTATCGAAGGCCTTGGAAAGGTCTATAAATAAGGCAGCGCAATTTCTTTTATGATCCAAACAATTTAACACATCATCTAAAACAAGCATAGTGGCTGAAACTGTGCTATGTCCAGGTCTAAAACCAGATTGGTGCACATTAAGAATAGAGTGAGATTGGTGCACATTAAGAATAGAGTGAGATTGGTGCACATTAAGAATAGAGTGAGATTGGTGCACATTAAGAATAGAGTGAGATTGGTGCACATTAAGAATAGAGTGAGATTGGTGCACATTAAGAATAGAGTGAGATTGGTGCACATTAAGAATAGAGTGAGATTGGTGCACATTAAGAATAGAGTGAGATTGGTGCACATTAAGAATAGAGTGAGAAGTTAAAAAAGTTATTAGCTGAAAGTTAGTCAGGGATTCTAAAACGTTGGAAAGGCAAGATATTCTGGAAATTGGACA